GAGTGAGGGTTATTTTTGACGCCACTTTGAACAGTATTCCAGTAATATCACAGCGTGTCCGCTTAATGGAGGAATAAAACCCGAAGTAACAAAGATCTCAGAAATTTACCACTGTGGTGATCCCATGAGCACGGGCCCAGTGCTGACCATTGTAGAAACATGATCAGGGGGAACCGGGATTCGAACCAACATTTCAAGGTTTCTGGCTACAGCGAATTGCGCGCCTAAAACTACTGGGCCACCCATTCCCTAACTATCAGATGACCGTTTGCGTAAGAGGAAGAAAATAAAAGCATTCGTACAATTTTATCAGTTGGGATTCCACTTGTATCAGTTTCAAGTGTGACGTCGGCCTTCAGGAAGCCTTTTTCACGAAACTTGTTTTCAACTCAACACCGAAAAGGAATTAATAAATGGAAATGAAATGAGAAAAATTCGACTGCAGGTTCGTTACTGGAGGCCTTATTGGAAATTGCTTGTACACCGGATAACAAAATACCAAGAGCAATATGGCAAAGAAAAAGATTTCTCCGAAGTCCTTCTCCCGTTTAATACAATCTATACCTCCATTCACTGAAAATTCCACAGAAACATGTACAAGAAATGCAGCGTGCCCTAGAGTTCTAATGAAGTCAGTTCCGTCAGTGAAATGTCAATGCTCGCATTCGATTTAAAGAACCTGGACCACTCTGGAGAACCCTCCTCCAACAAAGTACAACACAAATTAACTTCTGTTGATTATTGCAAGAACATGCATGTCAACTGATTTACATCATACTTCCGTTGATCAAAGTTGCCCCTACATGCTCAATCCCAAGGGATGCGACATTCTGTTTAGCATCCTCTAAGTGACGTCATCGTTAAAGCTAATTAGTTTCATTTATTGATTGATAGTATTTATGCATAACATAATATTCACATTCTTGACATAAAAACATTAAATCTATTACACAATTTTGACGACGATTTTACATCTCTGTTGGATGTTCGTTATTTTGACATTTCGTTTCGGTAATCAAAACATTAATTAGTTTTAAAGTACAATAGTAGAATTGGCACTAAGCACTCCAAATAGTTGAATGTTTCTGCCTCTCCTGGGATCCATTTTGTATTATACATAAAGTTTCGTTTGATCTCGGGTTATCCTTCATCAATAAAGATTAACTCTAGTCTTTAACGTTATTACCATTCGTCTTAAGTGTGACGAAAGGAAACTGCGCTATGGGGTGTAACAGGTCGTGAGCTGCTCATGTTCTTCCTGTCTTTTTTGTATGTTTATCATGGAATCACAGGACAATGACAGTACTTCCAATTTCTAAATGCCTCAGTATCAACAACTTGTCATACCTTCATTCTTTAAAACAAAACAAACAAACAAACAAAAGAAACCCAAACCAACAAGAAGAAATGTAATGAAGTCAGCTATCGCTTTCAAAGATTTTAAAGCTTTTGTCCTTCAGTAAAAGATGTCCAATACAATTCTCTATTGCTACTTTTTACTTTGTTGCCTTGTTTTAATAGGTGAACAATTGACTTTCCTTTACATGTGTTTGTGAGGGATTCAGTGGTGTGGCAGGATACGCCAAATTTTTCTCGAACACAAGGTATCATTACTATTTGATGGTGATTCATAAACGCACGACAGTCACAATAATGCAATGTATTTGGACTTTAGCAGGTATTTTATGTTTGTTACTTGTATTAATGATAATCTTGATTAGGGTTTTTACTTTACTATAGACTTACAAATGTGTCATATCATATTTGTTTACTTACAAACAGTAAAATGTTCTTCCAATTTCTATCAACGATTAACCAGAACTATATTCTTCGATAAGAAACCGAGGAATGCCATATCTTCCAGAGTTCTAATGACGGCAGCTGCGTCAGTGTAATGGCAGAAGTGTAATGTCAGAGACAAAAACAAAACAAAAACACCAACAAATATTATGATCACGTATCGTGTCACTGCTTTTCCGTGGACTCAAAATTGTTTCATTTTTTGTGTTTACCAGACACATTTCGTCTGTTTAATGAATGTAACTGGAGAATTACAGCATGTATAATTCAATACAAAGCCGGGGAAAAGGTGTAAATAGCGACAGCAGGCCCCCAGCAGGAAGAGAATAATAGTCATTTCATAAGCTCATCTATTTATACGTCGATGAGCGCCATTATAAAAGAAACGTACGTTTTACCTGACGACCAGTGTTACATTTGTAACACAACTACTGTGTTGATTTCCGTGTTGATTCCCGTGAAGGTCAAATTTATCTTGAGAAACCCCTGCTTGTCGTAAGAGGTGAGTAACGGCCTCAGTGTCACCCTCGCTAAATTTGTTGACACATATTATCGTATTCAAATTATCTGGGTCGATGCTTATACTGTTTTTCGCTGGACTGATCGGTCCAGAATCGACTGGACCAGTCTTTGCAAATGTTTATGGCGACTGCCACTGGTGGGGCAGGATACGCTCACATTTTCCAGAACACCTGGTATCCTCACTATTTGAAACACGTGCTCTGTCATCATGTTGTCAATCACTGGATAGTCTGGTCCAGACTGAAGTGTTTACAGATTACTGCGTCGTACAGCTGTAATACTGCTGCTCGAACGCAGGCATCCCCATGATATAGTCAGCATTGTACAATCGACTCTGAGTTATTTTTGTCGTTTCTACTTCTAATTACCTGCGAAGTAGATCTACTTGAACTTTCCATTCAAATTCATTGAGAACGTCTTGGCGCTTCTACAACCGTACCTGCAAAACTAGGATTTGTGTAAATCCGATTTCATGTGATCAAAACCAGAAGCTGATGAATCATATGTTATAACATTACACCAACGGCGAAGTTGTGTTAATATAAGGAAGGATATATTTGGAATATATATGAACGCTTCTGACAACTCATCTTCAGAATAGGAACCACACATGCTTCTTAATCAGATCGGCCACAAGACTGACATTGCTGAGGTAGCTAATACCTCAAGTCACCTTCTCACTGACTGAATCAACATCTGTTCTGCATCAACCTCTCTCTCAATACCGTGAATTGAAATACGTCGCTAAATTGTTGGAAAGTTGTTGGAAACTTTCACTCTCAGAACATTTTGGTAATTGGATTGTTGTGAATTAAAGTGTTGGCAGGTGTCCAAATGCTCAAGAAACATATTTTCAAGTCAGATCGATTGAACGCCGATTGCCTACAGTACTTGGATTGTAACAGTATCATGGCTTGTTAACGTAATGCCAGAAGATGATTTTCAATTAGTTAAGACGAGACATTTATTACTTGGTGAAACAAGCAAGGATACTATTATGGTGATGAAACAGTAATGATAATCTTTATGTAATCAGGTATTGTAATCAACGAGGATCCTGGTACGACATTTTGCCACAACTCATTTGAAGCATTGCTACTGGAAGCGATTGTTGAAACATTTCCCGAAAACATTTCTCGTTGGCCCAAATAATATTAAAGTTGTGTTCAAGTTGTATTGTATAGAAAATATGTGAGTCCTTTCCCACGAGAAAACACAAGACGGAGTTTCCTTTAGTTAAACTACTCTTGAATTTGTGATGGAGATTATTTGCAGTTGAACTGCAATAGTTTTGAAAATATTAAAGTCTGACCCACGAAATTAACTCCAGACAGTAAATCCGAATCCTAGTATCAGAATTTGTTTTCTGTAAAGGGCAGTTCATGTTTCTTTTGCATCGGATTATTATGTATGTACATGTAGAAATCAAAATCAGCCAGACCTGTGAAGGTCCGGTTTGGAATTTTGATCTTCAGTAACCCATGCTTGTCATAAGAGGCGGACTAACGGGATCGGGTGGTCAGGATCGCTGACTTGGTTGACAGATGTCATCGATTCCCAATTGCGCAGATCGATGCTCATGCTCTTGTTCACTGGATTCTCTGGTCCAGACTCGATTAATTACAGACCGCCACCATATAGCTGGAATATTGCTGAGTGCGGCGTAAAACTAACTCACTCACTCAAAATCGGCCAGATGAGAAAACAACCAAAGTTTTAATGAATGTAACTGGAGAATCCGAGTGTAATTCTTGTGGAATAATCGATAACTACAGCCATGGGTCTATACGGTAATCATTGTGCCTCCAGCAGCCAAACTATAATGAGGCAGTCGTCTATTTTTTGTTTATTTTGTTAAGTTTTGTTTGACAGTGTTGTTTGCACTCCTCAATATTCCAGTATATGACGACGGTCTGTAAATCATCGATTGTGGAAAAGACAGTCCAAGGATTGATATTAAGAGCATTGATTTACGAAATTGAAATGAAGTCACTTTGACATGTATGGCAAGCCTGATCGCCTGGTCCTGTTAAGTACGACAGGCATCTGTTGATGAAGCTCAGTTCTGACCAAGATCGTTGTGGGGGAAACATGTGAAGCCTGTCTGCTAGGAATTAGAAAATGGATAAAACTTATTCTTTCATTATGAAACAAATGTTTGGGTTTTGAGTACATGGCCAGTTGTGTAGCCAATTTCTCTATTCTTTTACATTGATATAAATGTCCTGTCTTTAAGGCTGAACGAAGTCCTACAGTATATTTGCTTAACTGCCAACTGCGAATCCAGCTGGATTGCATAGAAGGAAAAAGCAATTACCATCTGACAATGAACCTGAATCGTCCTGAAGAGAAGTTCTTGCTTTTTTCGGTTGTGCTTCATGTTTCTGCTTTTGTAATTTTATGTGTTTCCTGATATATATAGTCCATAGCATGATTCTTAACATCAAACCTTTCCTGAACTGAACCATCAAATTAGAACTGGAGAGTATCGTTGGTAATCGATAGCAAAAACCAAGATATTATTGTAATCAGCCTCAGCAGATCCCAAGGATATAATTTCATAGTTAATGGTGGTATTTGGTTTTACATAAATGGGAGTCATTTTGAAAGAATAGTTCAGTTTTCCATGCAGTAAATTTCTTGTTGATGTACGTAAACACGTAAGCCATAACCATAAGGTGTATAACGTGATTATATACCTCTGAATGATTTTAATTAACCAATCACAATTCAGTATTTTCTGAAGTCATGGTAGACTGTATTGTTTAAGAATCTGTAATTTTACATGCTTAAGGTTCATAAGGGCTTTGTGTTTTTAGCTGGGGCACTGGCAATGATGCAGGTTATAACTTATGTGATGTACTGAATATAAGTTAAAGAACAATTATTTATACTATTGTGCTCCAATGGCTGGTGGGTTTTGCAAAACCAATTGTGGGTGTTCGTTAACGTTTTGATTAGTATTAAACCCCAGAAGATATCAGTAAGATTACACATATGTTTTTTCATAACAATATTTCTCGTCTTCTGTTTGAAACATGGAATACATACTGGTGACATCTCAATGAACCAATGTATGTGATACCTCTGATGACTATCTTAAGAAGGCAGCGCAAGCATGCTTTCACAATGATGCAGCAAATATCAAGGCAGCAAATACCTCAGCTCTTCTTCACTAAGTCAACAGAGTTCGGCACCACTCTCTCAATAGAAAGTGAAACAGGTCTCCTAAATACTGACACACACTGATGAATTGATGGAACGTTTATTGCAGTTGCATTCTCACGTGTTAAAATCATAGGCGCTGTGATACTTACTTACCATTAGTATAGTTCAAAAGATTCTTTGTTATACTCTTAGCCTTTGTTCTTGATTGAACAGTGACTATGAGTGTTTTCGGTTCTCCGATTAGAACAGCATTTCAGACACAACATGTTAACATATTGTGTAAAGATATCAATTCATTTAGTGGAGTACATCTGATGCATCTACGCTTTTTGTGAAACCACCGAGCAAGGATATAGTGACAAACAGAGGAAATAATGGGGAAGAATTTAGTATTCGACTGTACAAGCCACGAAGAACTTTGTGAGACAAATAGACGCGATTCGCACAGAGAACAACTACTGAATCGTGTAGAGAAAAACTACTGAAAGTGGGTTAAAACAAACCTTCCCCGAAGACATTTCTCATTGGTTGAAATTATATTGAATTTGTTCTGAAGTTGGATTGCAATCGTATTGAAGGTTTCAGATTTCATTTCCTCGAGAAAAAGCCCCAGACACAAGCTGAATAATGAGAATGCCAAATTCGTCTTTTAACTTTTGTAAAGACTCGTTCATATTTCTTTTGCATCAGCCAAGCACCACTTAATCTGTAATTGTATGGACAAACCAGCATAGCCTCAGGAAGAGATTCCCAAGTTTTAATGAATTCAACTTGAGGATCAGAAAGTAGTGTATGTTGAATAATCGATAATCAGATCCATCAGTTTATACGGTAATCACTGTGTCCAAGCCTCAAGCAGTCAAGCTAGAATTAGGCGGCCATTTACTACAAGAAGACTGCAAGTAAAGGGGCCTTCCTGAAATGGATTGTGTTAAACAAGTGTGGAATGTGATGCTATCTATTCAGAATAAAGAGACTTGATGAAACTTGTTCTTAGATCATGAAACAAATGATTGGTCTTGATGTTTGAGCATTCATGTTTTTTAAATAAAACATTGAAGAGAAAACCGAAGTAGAGCAGCTCACTTCACAATCATAAACTAGAAAGAGACATTTTTCTCTCTTGTGAGAGAAGGGTTGCCCAATAAATACGTTATTTTCTTCCTGCTAAAATTTATGAAAATTATATGACACTAGGTTATTGGTTGTGGTCCATGTCCTGACAGGGCAAAGGGATTTAGTGTTCTCTGTTGACGCTATGGATCAGGGTTAGTCCCAGTAAAGCTGCCAGGTACAGAGACAATCGTTGGTATCACCCGCCTTGATATGGCTGCATTATTGCTGTAAGCTATGTCAACATAACCAATTTGCTCCGAACTCGCCCGGCTGAACGAAGTCCTACAGCAAGATTGCTTAACCCTCTGGACACACTAATTGGGACCCCTGGCAGACGGATGAACGGTCAGTCTAGATACAGAGCGGGACCTGGTCACAGACACTCACGTTGTTGAGGTTTTGGGCTTTGCAGACTACACGAATGTAGTTGATGTAGTTCACCGTGTTGTCATGAGCCAGATACATTTCAGATACATCATATATATCAGCAACAGTCGATAAAGGGTACACATTCTATTGACGATGAATTAAACAGTTATAACCAGTGTAATTTCTTTGTTTGTTGTTTAACGTCGCACTCACCAACACCAGACCCCAACCTCCGAGACTGTAATTACCCCAATCCTGAAACAAACGCCCTTTCAACACGATATGGGAGAAACGTCAGCTACTTGCTGAGTCCTACTAATCTCAAAACGTTCCACACTATCCTGTAATGAAACTTCCCAAGATTCGATATCACCAATTCCACACAGATGTATGACCTTCAGACCCCAACACGCCCTGCATTGACCCTAGGTTCAGCCAGTACATTTATTCAGTTTCCACATACCAAATGATCTTGCAATCTGTCATGTTATCTTGAATAGAATGTAATTATATTTTTAGCTCGAGTCTCAGAATCCGTTTTAATTACATAATTCGTTCAAGGTACGCCACATTAAGCAATATTTCAGCAACATTCACGGCAGGGAATAGATTTGGTCACATGTTGTACCCACGAACTCGGGTCTTCTGTGCGACGAGCGAACGCTTTCAGTACTGGGGTGCACCAGCCTTCATTCGTTTATAGAATTTTCTAAATAGGGAATAAAGAAATTAGGCCATGAGCCGAGACCCATAAATGCTCTCAAAATGTGAAAATGCCAAGTGTACTCTTGTTATGAAACGTCAATGTTCTACTAAAAACATGTGTTCCTTACCAGACAGCAGATATCCTCATTATGACGTCATGGCATAAGCTGCTTCCAGGGTTATCTACTTGTCATGAACCTGTATGTAGTGCTTAGAAATGTTGAAAGCATTGCGTAAACGCTGAATGTCGAACAACTTGTGAGCAAGAGTCGAATGACAATTCAGGTCTATTACTTCATAACTACTGTCAAAGCACTATGTACAATTCAATGTAAAATACTTGCACACTAAAGATGTTGCACAATGGAAACTGAGGATGACAAATTGGTGGTTGGAATGACATTTGTTTTTACACCACATTTAATGCAACAATCTGTGCTCTTTAAAGATAAAGGGATGGGTGAGTGAGTGAGTTTTGTTTTACGCCGCGTTTAGCAATATTCCAGCAACATCACGGCGAGGGACCCCAGAAATGGGCTTCACACATTGTACCCATGTGGGGAATCGAACCTGGGCCTTTGGCGTGACGAGCGAACGCTTTACCCACTAAGCTACAGCACCGCCCCGAATTCCGTAATGAATGGTAAAAGCAAAGGCAGAGTAAAACTACTCCTATTCCTAAGTTTTGATGATGCTAAAACAACTTTAACAAAACACGGTCAATGTCAGAAAGGCACAACATTAACACAGATACCACGTCTGAACTCTCGCGGTACCTTATACAGATAATTAGATGTTTAAACTGCTGCCGGTGGTTCAAAGTTTTGTGTGTGCTCCAGGAACTTTATTCTTTTTACTTTTTACAAACCCAAAGTGCCTGATGGCGCCATCTTGTAAAAAATTCAACGGAAGCTCACAGAAAATATATGCTCTCCTTTCCAGCACCAGTTCAAATCAACCAGGCACAAGATCGTAACCTTCATTAAGCCTCCAACAATAAAGTTGGGTTTACACAATTGTTTTCATTGTACTAGATGCATGCATACTACATAATTCTCTGCGAAATTCTCCCGCGAAGAACAATTCAGCAAAGGGTTGTTTTTTCAAAAAATATCTGATATATTTCCGTTTATCACTCCCGAGTTTGTTTTTCATTCTCTCATTTCCTAACATCGACGTCTAACCTTTGTAAGATCACATTGTAATCTAACACTAGACTCTCAGGCGTTGAGTTGCTATAAACCTGAAATCATCTCCGAATTCATCAAATCAGTTTTGTGGGGATGACTTCTTCACGATTACTTTCCCAACATCATTTATAGTTAAAGTAATTGGTCAATTCTGTTTCCATATTTTATCATTCCTGTACAAGTTTTTTATGACATTGACCTTGGAAGCGGTGCACTAAGGAATATTAAATGACAAATCAGGAATAACGTGAAACTGATGTGATGTTAGCAGACTTTAAGGACGAAAATGAACAAATAAGCGCCATAAGTTTAAATATTTCCTTGTTATATGCTGTGTATGACAATTTACATTATCTCAGACTTGACACAAAATACAAAGTGAAAATAGCATAAAATCACGCGTACATGCACGTCAACATTTGTCTTCTGTCGTTGATGTATATACTACGACATAAAAAATTATCGACACATGATGTTACACTGGGGGTACCCTTGTGGATCGTCACTCTTAAGACCCGGGTTCGATTGGTGATATTGCTGGAATATTGCTAAAAGCGGCGTAAAACTATACTCACTCACTCACTCACTCACTGATATTACACTAAATTTTAACGATCAGTTTCCACTCTTTACAAGAAACAAATTAATAGAATCGATTAGTTTTTTATGGTTTTGTTCTACGACGGCCTAATTTTCTTACACTTGAGAACATTTGACGGACGTGCTGATAATCAGTAAATTACTTACACGAGACTTTTAATATTAATATGGCAATATAAAAACACGACAGTTGTTATTTTAACTTCACCATAGGTAGGATTCTGTTAGACACGGCCCACGTCCGCAAAGCAACATAGCATTGGCAAGAATCACAGATGTTCGTATCAATTCCATATTGATGATAAATGTTCGCAAAACCCAGACAGATTTATAATGAATGAATTGATGAAATGTCAACCAGATACATTGTCGCTTCATTATGTCTAAACTGAACTTCAACTTTGATCTGCCTAATCTGTCAACAAAGACACCGGAGGGACAACGATTTCTGATTAGGGTTCTTTTGGCTTCGCTATGTCTGATAGATTCCATTCAAATATCATTTGTTGCCCTAACGCATGTCCATAAAATTAATTGCTTCTTTGGATGCCAAGATTTGGTACGTGGAGAACTCGGTCGACCATTGCGGATAATGAAAGAGACATGCCCT